AAAAGACTAAAACTGGATGACATGTAGAAACTGTATGACCATCAAATTCCAGTGTCACCAAATAAAATTTTACTGGAAGATGGCTACCCTCCCCCCCCAACACACACACACTCCTATCATCAGTGGCTGCCTTTGCACTACCATGGTGGAGCATAGATGCTGCAGTGAGGCCATAGGAGGTCTCTATCACCCAAATATATACTCTCTGGCCCTTTACGGAAGACGTTTATCAACCCTTGATATCACAGATTATAGTTTAACTTTAGGGTTAACAGGATCACAAGAATTCCAGTCACTGCCATAAAACACAAGACCACTGCTGTTCACGAGTAAAGGCCAGGTGTGAACCCTCAGTAAAATGATGAGAAAGCTAGTGCTGCTCCGACTATTGCCTTTGTTGTCCTTGAAAAGACATTTGGGATCCTAAAGACAAAAGTGTGTCCGTGATCATTACGTTGATAATGGATTTGAAAAGCAGTGGCCACCCAGGCCAGCCAGAGCCCACTGATGCCTCCTTGGGCCTCTTCCCCAGCTATTCCTTCAGTTGGGTCCTGCCTGAATGTCAGTGAGGGTGCAGGCAGGGAGACAGAGCAATTTCCCCACAGGGCCAGAAGGAAGGGCCAACATTCAAAAGTTGGCAAAATAAGAGGAACCAGGATCCCTTCAACCCCTCCAGCAGGGTTTGCTGTGGGAATGGAGGGGACCAGGGTATTTATAAGCTGGCCTTCTCACCTTCTCAGTTAAAGGTTCATATTAGTGGAATGTGTGTGTAGTAACCCCAGTATTTATGCTATTTAGCAACAAACTGACTATTAACTGTCTCTTAAGACTTTGGCTAAATCAACATTTTATTCATTCAGAACTGATCTGTGCGTGTGTTGCTGCCAAGTGGTAATGTGCCGCTAAAAACTTGCCTTCTCTTGCCAGTGCCATCTCTAAAAGACTGCTTTGTGATTGTGTGTTGGGTGTGGTTGTGAGAACTAGCACCAACCCCCAAACAGAAGCTTTTCTGCAAAATCTTGTAATTTATCAGACGTTGACAAGAGAGAGAGCATTTCTGTCCTTACTATAAGAGTCCCCTTGAAAAGCAGTGACCTTTAATCCTTTGCCTTGTCTTAGTCTTCATCATAGTAAAGTTTTTGTCTAAAAGGTTACCATTTTTTTTCACTGAAGATACTGTAGCATCTGAAAAAGGCTTGCAGGAATCAATTATTCACCCAGTGGATACTGAATTATCACCTGTCATTGTTCTGATAAGTGCTGGTGCAGATTCAGAGAATTATTACATACGACCTTTAGCTTTCAGGTGTTACTAGTCAAATGGGAAAGGCAAAGTTCACCCATATGATATGTGTAAGCACTGCAGTCACATGAAATTTTAAGCACCAGCATGAAAAGAGTTCAGAGAAGACATAAATCATCTTGAAGAAAGAGGAAATGAGATCTGAGCCACACATTGTAGGAGGGTATGATCCTGCAAAACAGTGCAGAGAATGAAAGTGGGCATTCCTAGTGGACAGAAAACTGAGTGAAAGCCAGAAGCAAAGTATTACCTAAGTCAAGCCCAGGGCCCAAGGAGCAAAATACTGAGGCATATGTAAATTTATATACATATATAAATTTATATAAATTCATATATA